TGGCATGTGGTGCTGGGGGATCGAACCGCGGTCCCTGATGCTTTGCTAAGCTTGTTCTAAGTAGGTGCTTTAGACCACTGAGCCATCTCTCCAGCCCCAAAAGTAATAAAATTGTGAACAGCTGCTTCTCTCGGGCATTTTTGTACCTCTCTTCTTCCCATTTACTACCTTAAGCTCCAATGCCTGCCCTAGGAACCATGGCCGACAGCAGTGACCTTTCAGTTGCCAAATCCAGTGGCTCTCCTTTCCTTGCTAGAACTAGTGGTGTCTGGTGTCACCAGCATCATCTCGTGGAAAACTCCTGCTTGCTCTGTGGGCTTCCTGTCTCTCCTCTGTCCAGTGGCCCAACTTTTCAAACACTTATATTTGATCTCTGTGAGTTCCTCAAGTCTTGGTGCTTCCCAGATTTGGGTCTCTGGTCCTTTTTCTGCAGTCTCCCTTAGTGGCCCCATCTCCAGTTGGCTTTTGTGGTCCATCTACACAATAGTCCCTAAGTCCAGTCAATCTACCTTCCTCTGGATACCTTTATCTGGATGTCACCAAAGCACTCAGATTCAACAAGTTCCAGCTGAGCCATCTCTTCTGCTTTCCCTCAGTCCCCAAACTGCCAAACCATTGCTTCCTCTCAGCTTAACTCACCTCACCACTGAAGGCTCCGCATGCCGCCCTCGCTCTCCTATGGCTGATGAACTCCTAGTCATCCCCTAAGACCTGGCTGAAATGCTCCCTTCCCTGTGAAGCCTTTCAGGAATCCTCCAGGGAGAGTCCTAGGCACCTTGACCGTGCCTTTTTTGTATCTCTAGGACAAAGCCTACAACACTGTACTGCTTATGTCTGTTTCCAATCTTGTCTCCAAAGAAGGTGGGCCAAGAACTGGGAGGCAGACACAAGGTTTTAGTGAATGCTCAAGGAGTGTTGGTGCTTAGTCAAATGACAACTGTTCACAGGAAGGATGAGTTCACAAAGGTCAAACAAGAGTCCTGGGCTGGCCAAATAGCTCAGTGGATTAAAGCACCTGCAAAAAGCAGGCACAGGGATAAGTGGGTTTGATTCCCCGGGGCAAATTTAGACTGCAACTGGGACTGGGTGTGGCGGCAGGCCTGTAATCCCAGCCCTTGGGAGGCTGTAAACAGACAGATCACTGTTTACAGTCCGCAACCAGGCCCCTTTATATTCAGAACCACAGAAGGCAGGATAATGCCAAGTGACAATTCAGGTTGTTTCACACCCAAATTTAATTATATTGTTTGACTTCTGTCCCCTTTTATGACAGTGGCTTGTTACATACACTAGGTTGGCCTCAAACTTGTAATCCTGCTGCCTCTGCCTCCTGAGTGCTAGGGATCACAGGTGCACACCACCCCCGCCAGCTGAGAAAGTTTGTGTATTTCTTAGTTACTTCCTGAGACCAGGGCCTGTATCGCTGATTTGGACACGCACAACGTTATGCCTTTTGGGAAGCAGAGGTTGAGAGTCTGGAGGACATTACTCTGGAGTCGCTTAAGTTTATAAGCAAAGGCAAGACTTGAATCCAGTCCCGCACAAACAGGGGAGCCTGGGCACACAGGTGTGGGTCAGAGGCTGCAGAGCGCTTGCTAAAGGACTCGTGACCAGTTAGCGATCTATGCTCAGCACTATCTTCCGCTCCCAAATTGATAACTGCATGGTCACTTGAAGGCGTGATAAAATGTAAGTTTCATCTAACAGGATTAGGGGAGTAAAAAGGGTAGAGTTCTCCAGAGAAGTCCAGAAACCTGGCTCGGCCCGACTTGTGGATGAGACAATTTTTAAATGTGGGCCTACTTTCCTCATCCATAAAATGAGGGGAAAAGTGTTACTGGGGTCCCTAGCGACCCTTCCAGCACTGCCTTGGAAGAACCGGAGACCTCAGCTCACAAAACGAACAAGTCCTTCGGCTGAGGTTTAGCCTCCAAGGGACCGTCAAATAGGGACGCGTTCCCTTTAAGGTGCCAGCTCGCCGGCGGCGGCGGCCGGAAGTGCTGAAGCCCGGCCTGGCGGCGGCGGTGAAAGCTGCAACCGTGGCGGCCTCTGCGCATGCTCCGTCGCCCGCCCGC